GCGTTCCGCATAGAACGCACCCCCGATATCCGACGGTTTCCACCGGTTTCCACTAGTTTCCGCCGATTCCCGCGCCGGTTTTCCGGCGAACCCCGACAATTTTCACGGAATAACTTTCGCGCGAGATTGGACTTTACTTTTATATTATTCGCGGTGAAATTGTGAATTGTGCTTAGACCCGCCGCCGTTAACGCACCACCCTCCGCTCTTTTTCCCGGCCCCGGCCACCCCGCATTCTCTCGCCCCCAATCCACCACCCACAACGTTCGCCGGAATCGCGGTTACTTTTTATAGCCTTATTTGCGACGAAAGTTCGTCAGCACGCCAGTTGGACCGAACGATTCCAGGACTCGGACTCGCGAATGCCGGAATAAAACTGTTGACGATCACTGGGATCCTGGATAAGCTGCTGCTCTATGTACCGGGACAACAGGAATTGTTTGACGCAGGCCAGTCGATAGACCGGAGGTTTGTACGAGCAGAAATGGTGATGCTAGCGTGCTTTGTTATTCGGATTGTCTTGTCAACTTCTTAATCAGGTTATTTTGTTGCAGTTGTCGCTACTGGATAAGGATCTTCTCGGAAAATAATTTTTCTGATTCGTTTTAACGCTCGTTCGTTTCGTTGTTGGGTGTTATACACGGATTGTTTCGAATAAATATTTATCTAACATAATTATTCGAATGAACAATTTCGAATAAAATCTTATTCGTGTGGATTCTTATTTGGATAAAATCGCGTTCGGATAAATGATAGCTGGATACATTTTTATTCCATTGGATATTTATTAGAATACAATTTTTTATATATATAATTATATAACATTATATAGTAATTATATAATTATATAATAAATATTTAGAATAAAAATTCGAATAAAATTTCATTCATCAGTCTTTAGTCGTCATCCTGAACAAACAAAGTTCTCTAATGTTACCTTAGTGTCCTTTAACTATGTTAATTTTGCTCTAATATTGTAATTTACATACAATGTCGTATTTAGAATAAAAAGGTTTTCTTAAAAACTGATTTTCACGAATAAGTTTCTCGAAAACAATTTTCCATGAATAATTTTCATTTTCGGTTATTCCTCATTTCAAGTCGGCACACTTTTCATTCTCAAAGTATTTTTATACACTTAAAATATTTCTTCCTTGATAGCTTAATTAATAAAAATGTTCTCAATTTGGTGGTACAATTGAATAAGTGTGATTCTGTGTGTTCTAAATAAGCAGTATAAACCGGGAATACGAAATCGAATTCTCATTTTTGAATTTGGAGATGCATCGAACGGACGTGCTATTACATAGGAATCTGATAGTGCACCCGATCATGAGCTGCTGTTTCTACTGCGGATAAATACTAACGCATAGTAACCAGTGAATTCCACAATCCGATTTTACACGTAATAATTTTCTGCATAATTATTATAACTCTAGAAAGAAGAAATTACGATGCCTCCGTTTTCGTGTATCCTTGTCGCTATTCTATTTTACTCTATTTGTTACAATATCATCGTTTATTCTATTTCACCGCAAAACATATGCAAAACCATATAAGTAATATGTAAAACCAAGTTCTATTTCCAGTTCTATACGTACATACATGCATTTACTTCAGCATTACACTTTCCTTTATTCTCGCTCGCATATGCATCATACCGCACGAACAATAATTAAATTGCAAATCTAGATGCATTTATACAGTAGAAAACAGTTAAAACGTAAACCCCCGTGCTCTTCCATTTTATTTTCAATCGATACAGAAAATTCCATTTCTGAAGTTTCCGGGCTCGATTAAAAGCCGATTTTGCATAAACACCGGCAACGCTCGGGGTCCGCCGATCATTTCTATGGTAAATGAATCGCTCTCCGATAGCCTAATATTTGCCGGGGATCCTTTGAACCGGCGGTATTCCGAAGAAATTCCGAAGCAAGATCGGAAATTTCGAAGCTGGGAAGGAAGCGGCCCTGTAGACGGGCGGTGCTACTCGAGACACAAGCGGATTCGCATGACACTGAGGAATCCTAAGGATCCACGGTCGCCGAGCACCCGGCTGAGTCTCGTGTATCGTTCTCGTGGCCGGTCATTGATCAGCGTCACGAGGGTAAATCTTGATTTTGGACGCGTCACGGTACGCATGGTCAACGAGCCTGATTCAATAGAGTGCTCGGTCATTAAAGTGCCATTAACCGGTGCTTGTCCATCAGGAATATTAATGTTGTAAATCCAGCAGTTTCGGAACGGGGCCACGGGATCCCTATCCTCTAACTCCGGGTAGTCTGCTTTCTTTCACGGCGCCGCGCCGGCAGCTACCTTGAAACGCCGAGGGTGTCAACCCTCGAGCAGCACTCCTGGCCTGTTCGGGGAAAGTTGCAAATTATGGTCGCCTAGGCGCGAAAATTTATCGACGACCTTCCGCCGCGGGAGAACGCGGCGCCGAGGCACCCGAACGATGCGAGATCGCGAAAAATACTCCGGGACCAGTCAAGGCTGTACGTGGCGTAACGGAAAATCGATATCAGCCAGCGTCTCCCCCATGCCCACCTCCACAATCCTCTCTACCCCCCTCCCCTCCCTCCATCTCGCCCCCCGTTACTTTTATCGTCCTGCTACGATTTGTCTCCGTATGATAACGAGGATGTGAGTCAGACGCGATCCACTTCGTCATCCCCGGGCGCCGCGCCGCTGAAAAATCCTCCGGCTCCAGGACACTGTTCTTCAACGTCCAAAGAAAATTCCACGTCGATGCCTACACGCCATTACACCGTACCATTCGCTCGTAAAAAGGGGCCTGCGATAAAACGGAAAACAGAGGCAGGCAGCTTGAATATTGTTAACTTCTTGCTGACGGTGTCGGGCTGTGCTCAGCGTCGATCCTTCGGCGCACGGATCGTTCTCCCGTTTCTGTTCGTCTTTCTTTAGAATATTCTTAATTGGAATATTTGATATGATTTCTGAGTATATTTGAATCGATTCGTGCAATTATTAGACTGGGAGAATGGAGATGCGGAGTGAAAATTGTCTAAGTTGATTATAAGAAACGTAAGTCAGATGGATATGTCTTTCCTAATTAATAGTCCTTTTTACTAATTCTAACAGGTCGTATATAATGTAAGAATATTCTCAATTCTTTATGTCTTTACAATTTTCGTTTTGATTTAATCACTTTTGCCAAAAATCCATAAAATCCGCTGATATCGGATAATAATCGGATAATATAAATAATAAATAATAAATCGGATAATAATCCGCTAATATCTCTCCCTAGTAACGAAAATATTTGAAATGACTAGTAACGAAAATATTTGAAATGATTTGTAACGAAAATATTTGAAATGATTTGTAACGAAAATATTTGAAATGATTTGTATCGAAAATATTCGAGACTATTTGTAATTCAAATATTTGAGATTATTTGCAATTCAAATATTTGAAATGGACGCGTAACGTATATATTTGAGACGATTTGTAATTAAAACGTTTAAAATGATTTGCGATGAAAACATTTGAAACGATTTGTAACGAAAATATTGGAAATGATATTTGTGATGAAGCAATATCGTACCTCTCGAGACTCAATTATGAATTGATTTGAATCCATTCCTCCAAATCGGGGGCGGAAATGATGCGGAAAATAAAAACACGAACTTGAACGTTAACTGTTCACCTCTTCCTATCGGTGTCAAGCTGTACTCGACATTAATCTCTCAGTATACGGGACGTTGTTCTTTTATTCGTGTCAAAGTTTCTTGGAAATCTTGAATAATTCCGAATGCGACATTCTCTCAACTTGTTGCCGTTTTACGGAATGAAGTAGTAGCCTCGTTGCAAAGTAGCTGCATATATCAATGAAAAAGCGTACGTTCAATCGGGTGTCGCGATCTCTGCTCGACGCTGAACGATCGGCGCAAATTATGTAAGCGTTAAAAATCATTTCTGTCGACACATAATACAACTACCTCCAAAGATGCCCTAAATCGTTGTGAAAATCCTGCTCGAATATCAACGAGTATAAAAGCGTGTATATTAATGGAGATTCCGAGCGTTCATAAACGGCATCAAACATTTGATCAATTAATAACGTGGTCCGTATAATTTATCACCCGCTTACCACGCCCGTCGAGTTTGTGTCGTTGAATACAGCGCGATAAAGTCGCTCTAAGGATCGTAGCGATTATGATTATCATCGTTGTCACGATTATCATCATTATCGTATGCTGCGTCTTCGTTGAATTCTCGACGTTTCGGCAGATCTTTCCCGGTAAAGCTCGCGTCGAAATATTGATTAGTTTATATTTCGCCCGGCGACTGTCTCTGCAACACCATTCATCAGCGTATCGCGGTTATTTTTCAATTAATATTACTCGATAAACGGGCCGCGCGGCGAATGTTTATTATGTATAAACCATGCATCAACGCGATAAGGATTATTCTATCTCCGCAATTTTTATCCAGTTTCTTTTTCGACGTCCGTGAAATGGAGGAATTGTGAGCGCGAAGTGTGATACCGACGGAAAATGGTGACACCGGAATTCTTCGCGACGTCAACGACCGCCGTCGCTCGAATTCTTTTGCACGCTAACCAAGCACAATATCGCACGTGTGCTTTACATTAGCAGACTATGCTTTAATGCGTATATTCAGCCGATCTCGCGCGCTTTAGAATTTCCCGTAGACTAAATAAACACGACGAAGGTCGAGCTTGATCAACGGGCGCAGAATTATTTTGACAATGGGGCCTATTGAAACTTTCGGACACGTTTCAACGCTGCCTGAATTACATCGACGCAGCAATTTCTCCCTAATTCGCGCTCAGATTGCGCGACAAAAAATGTACAATTCTGTACCGATTGTCGACGACTATAAAAACGCGACGCAAGGGCTCGAATAATCGTGTCTCCTCATCCCGAATCGTCGATTTTTGCGCGCGATCTGGGCGCGAATTAGGAAGAGATCACTGTACAAAGATACGTTTACGGGAGATTTATACAATAAACTTGTTAGTAACATTTATATTCAGTAGATTACGCATGATAATTTCATTACAAGTTCGGCTCGTTGGATCATGGTCATAAAGTTTTGGTCTGCGTTCGCACTGGCAGTGTGCTGATTTCTATTTGAATTAATTACTGTATTTAAAGAAACACGGATCACGTTTTTTTCATATTTCTTTCGTTGTTTCTGTCAAACAAAGCAGAATTTTCACCACGACGAATTGATAATAAAGGGATCGTTCCGCCGTTTTGCTCTGGTTCGACTGCGGATATTTTATCCCGCTGTCGCCCATGATCGAAGCAAACGTATCTTTCCAGCGAAATAGATTATCCGTCCAGGGTATTGATGTAACCAAAGAAAGAGTATCATTATGCAAGACGAATTGAAGTTGTCGGAAAGTTTGCGGTACATTTTGCTCGTTCGGCTGCAACAAAAACATTTTGATAAACGTGGGTCAGCGAGCTTCTTGTTGCCAAAATAGCCTTTATCAGTTCCACCGTGAATCATGCATCGCCGGGCGGGTACTTTGCTACGGAGAATCATGGCCGACATCAAATAGATAAATATATCGAGATAAATAATTGTTGGACAATACCCGTGGCCCAAGGTATGTATCCGGTTCGATTGAAAATTGAAACGCGGTTCCAGGAGAGATTAGCGATTAATTACAACAATGCATGTAACAACCAATTGATTATAGGAAAGATTTATCGCGTCAAAGCGAAACAAATTGTCGCAAATTAAATAGATATCGGACGCTTAAATAGTATTTAGATTATCGAGCTTGTTGAACGACTGTCGCATATCGATTACCCCAATTAATTATCATCATTAGAATGTGTCGTTATGTAATTACACCGAGCACGTTAAACCCACAGCGTTTTAACATTTAATTTATTCGCGCGCGCGCCATCCGTTTTCTCCGTTCCATAACATTTCTCCGGAAATTTCGAATCGTCTAATTCGGTGTATCCGATTTTATCGTTCGAAAACAAAAAAAGAGAAAACTTATTTGCTTTAAGCGTCGAGACATGGTAAATCGCGGCGGCCACGTTTGATATCGCCCGGTAAACCGTTCCCATCCGGGAGAAAAATTGCTTCGTGCACTTTTCTAGATCCCGCCACGATAAAATGTAACCATAAACTTTTGGAACATTCATTTAGACTCATCCTGTATAAAATGATATCTATCCGGGTCACACATAGTGTCACACATTTGTGCATCAAGCTTAGTCGGCTAAGCCACACGTGGCGCAGAGTTCTACGTCAAGCGATTTAACCAGGCAATCGCTTTTGTCCGGCTTCTAAGCTTTACTGCACAAACATTTACCTAAAATCTGTTCAGTTGTGTTCCTTAATCTTAACGTCTACCTCCGTTTAACGACGCCGCCGCGTAATAACCGAAGCCAGATCCATTGAACGTTCTTCGCTAACCCGCGGCGTTCTCGGAAAAAATTTCTCAACGCTTTAGAAACGAACAGCTAATTACACTGAATATTGATAATGATAGATCGTAACTTCGGACAACTCGGACGGTGATTAACGATCGGCATTACAAAAGCGCTTGTTCCGGTTTTAATTATACCACGTGGTAAAGTTAAATTATTTCTTTCGTCGAACTTACGTGGAAAAAAATGTTCGCGCGCGTCAACAATATTGTTCCGTGTTACGAAAGGAAAATTTTCGTGTAACAATAACGCGTAACGCATTAAGGTCCATTTATATTATCCGTTTCGGCCTGATTCGGCGAAATCAAACATCGCTGTTGAACTAAACGTACGAATGTTTATATATGTATAGGGTCGCCTATATCGGTTCGGACTCGGAGGCGATCCGTTTCTGAATACGTTTCGTACCGTATGTATATATTCTGGCATAACCAAAAATGAATAGAGTTAGCAAGAGATTATAGGTTTTTGTACGAGCACGATCGAGAAGAGAAAAGTTACAGTGACGATAATAAAATGGTGTCCGCGTGGAACGAAATCGGAAAAATTATGAATTCATAGACATTCTAAAATACTGGAAGATCTTTTTATTAATTTTTTAAACTATATCCGACGTTCTCCATCGGTTTTTCTTCTCTTTAATATATAACGTACGGCGGGACAACGTTTCCTTTTTCGATTCCCGTCCGCTTCGTGTAATAATAGTGCAAACATTTTTAACCGACAATTGTACGTTGAACGAAAGAATTTGTCGACGACTGTCGCTGCCTAACATGATATATATATATACTAGACGCATCTGTCCGAACCCAGCTGTTCCATAAACGTTCCGTGCCTGAAATGGATGATATAAAACGGCTCTTAAATCGGCCTTCAACCGATTTACGCGCGAGTCTGCCGTAAATCTAACGAGCCGGCATAATTAGTTATATATTCGCGGGGAAGCCTGGTTTGTTCAGTCCTAGATGAGCCGCGCTAATTTCCACCGCGCCCGCGCGTTTCTTTTTCGCTCGGCAAATGTGCGTGACTAACGGCCCCAATTAAGGGGTTGATGATCGCAGGCCGCGGAGGTAAACAGCCCGATCAGTCAAGAGGCGGCGCGACGGTCTGAATATTAATTACGCGACAACGGCACAAGGAGCAGGTAGCATTCTTCGATCGGTAGCGCGTCTCTCTCCGCGGCCGTAGCAGAATTATATACGAGGCCGTTCCTCGGCCTCGAAATCGAAACGGTTTCCGTTTCCTTCAACGGTGCCGGAATTGCCGTCATCAATAGAGCGTCGGCGCTCTCGCTCGCTCGCGCCGCGGGATCCGATGAAGAAAGGGGCAAGAAGAAATTGGGTCTCCCGATTACATCCCGACGTTGTAAATAAAACATGTCAACCGTGGTCGGAACCAGATGCGATCTGGCCTGATGGCTGATAATAGATTCGCTGCGCAAGCAGCCGGAATAAGCTCTTATCTGAGGCTCCTCGACGCGAGCGCGAGGCCGCGCGCGCGCTGGTACCGGCTCCGGCTCCGGCCCGAGCCCGGCCCGATCTAAACGCTCGCTGCGTTTGTTAAACAATCGCAGTGACATGGGTGTATCTGTTTCATCGTGTGCAGAGTAAAATCGGCGACGAGAATGGCCGTCTATCCGAGCGTGGTTACGCAACCCGTTGTTATCAACCGACGCGATGCAGGTTCACCCGTTCACCGTCCACCTGTCCCCCTTCCTCTTCCGCCGCATTCGCCACCGCGCGCCCCACGACCCCGTCACCGCCGATTCTGGTCTGCTCATCGGCAATTAAATTTTGTGACGCGCGTTGCTTATCAATTTGTTTATCGTCGGTTTCGTCGCTTCGCCCCGAGCCTCCCCATTGCGAACGGGCCGCGACTCGATCGTTTCTATCGAATTCACGGTTCTCCGGCCGAAAGAAATTTATCGCTGAAAGTGAGAACGATCGTGGCGGGGCTCTGTCGCACGGTGCTGCTCCTACCTCGAACAAGTTGTCGCGGTAAAGAGTCCGCCGTGTAATCGATTAACGAAATATCGGATTTGCCGTTACGAAATTGAATATTTCATCCCGGATGAGTAATTGTTTGATCGAGGAGATTCCTAGCGACCACGATCGCCCTGGGTGGCTGGCTGGCCGAATGTCCACTGTTTGGGTCCCTTGACACTTTAATGGCCGTGCGTCTACGCAGTCAAACGTCGCCGTTCAGCATGTGCGAACATATACATGAAACGGAAAATAAACGAGGAATTTAATATTTTTCCTTTGTGCGATAATTATTACAATTACAATCATATTGTGTGAGCGGTCATTAACGTGTTAATACTGGTTATTGGTAATTGAAGATTACGGTAATCGTCTGATTCTTGGAGAAAAACATGCGACTCTTCTACGCTTTTATCAAACAGTCGTCTGGTTTTCCAATGCTTAATTACAGTGGTCGCAAAAGTGTTCGTACAGCCTTTGAAAAGGAGTAATTATTTTTTTAAAATGACTTGAATGTTTTTTAGATGACAGAATTTTCAATTTTGCTATTAGTTGGAATGGTGAAAAAGAAAAGAAAAAATTCACGATTTTTAACAGTTTTATCGGAAACATTTGTTACTACGTTTTTCGGTGAAATGTGTCAAAAATCGTGGCACGACCGCAATTATCGCGGTCTTGTATTTCCGCGATATTACTTGATCTGGATTAGCGCGCAGATAATTTGGCTCGGTCCAAAATTCTATTCCTGAGATTCGGCAACGTGGGAACAGTTGGGAGCACATAGTCAAGGTTATTCAAGGAAACGATGAATGGACATCTGTAATTGTTAATTTCTAAAGCTTTGTTGCTGAAAAGTGGAAAGTAAACCGTTCCCAATGTTGTGCTCATCACTTAACTAAAGCCTTTGAGATACTATAATGGCACGTCTTCGCCAGAGATTGTAAGCAGTCCGCGAGCCATTCGCTGACTGTTTTTCATTTCGTTCGAACGCTGGGTCGCGAATAGCTCGCGCACAATCGGTAGCTGTAACAATATAGACGTCTGTATTTCTGGATTAGAAGTTTAGATCTTCGGTAAATAGAACTACATATAGTGCGGCCGCGATAGCCGGAGTACATTAACGAACTGAATTATATAACCTTCGAATGACGACTTACATTCAATTGACTACAATGTCAGTAACTTGATGTCAAATTGACGTTATAGATACGGAGTTGATCTGACGTCACGTTGCCAGTAGCGATATTAACCCCTTGACATACCATTTGCTGCGATTAAAAATTTTTCGATTGCAATAATTTCTTAGAAGGGAAAGGAAATCGGTGCTTATCGTGTGCCTAAATTTACTTGAATGCTCAATTATCGATGACAAGAGATTAGAATTTTATTTCAATTTTTTTAAAGGACAGAATAACATCTATACTCGATAAGTTGTTCCTAGAAATTTCCATGACGACAAGGGGTTAAAACAGGGGTCACCGCTTGAAGATTAAAAAAATCTTTCTTAGACGTCGTTGAACTTACGCGATAACGCAAGACCCGATTGAGTCGTTATAAACAATTAGTGTGAAAACAAAGTTTAATTTCTTCGATAATGTTCTTGTTTGCTTGTATTTATTGTCTTATTTATTGCCACCGTCAATATTCGGAATTGTGTTTTTAATTAAACGCGAAACGTGATCTCGCCTTCCCAAAAATTGTAAGAATCCGCTGGAATTCAACCGACGTGCAGCAACAAATACTTGGCTGTCCGATTCAAAAGCCTGGAAACGAACTTTCTATCTCGACAAAAATGATGAACACAAAAGAAACGAATTGTTGCATCACGCGGCGGCATCGAGGCCGCGAAACTTTTGTTCGAAATACTTTTCCGTGCAGTCAATAATTTGCGAGTAACTTTAGACCGTCACGGCTAGTGGCTGCACACCGAACTCCCATAATAATTGGCGCGCTTTCGCAAAACGGAGTCCGGCCCCAGCAAAAAATATCCCGTTTCTTTGTGGCTAGCAAAAAAAAAATGTGTTCATTCGCGATTTAATAATGAAAACAGCGCCCACCCACCGCGGCTGATTCCTCACCTTTGTCAATGGACCGCCCACCGGTGAAAACAACAGCGAAAAAACATGTTTATTTCTCGGACAAAGGGACGCCCTGTGAATAGACATCATTCAATTATTGCGACTATTTCTATTCCGCGGACGCAAACAAAACTATTATCGCAGTTTGTTTGCCGGAGCGGGACCGAGACGAAAATAGAGTAGCGGAGCCGGTTACTGT